GGGAGTGCCTCTGGTTGCGTGCAGAAGCTGGGCGGGGGGAGTGGCTGGGAGTCCCAGCACCTGCTCCCCCTCCGGCTTTTGCACACAACCAGAGGCTCTTAGCGCCAATTGTAGCCCTGCCTCCCGGTCACTCTCCTGCCCCCGCCAGGCTTCTGTCCGGCACCCAGGTGGGAATTCAGAAAATACCAGACATTGCACGTGTCCGGTATTTTCTGAATTTTTCTACTAGACAGATGGTGCAAATGCCAGACTGTCATGTAGAAAACGGGACACCTGGCAACCCTACTGGGGGGACCTTTTTTGGGTCGGGGGCCACACACACAAGTGAGAAGCAGGGAAAAACCTTTCACTGTAGCCCCCAACTGAGAAGGGAAAAGACATTCCCCTCACACATCGGGGATTAGGAGGGGACTGCCTAGTAGATTGTGTGCGCTCCAGCCCCGGGGGAGGGGCAGCAGGAGAGCTGGAGCACCAGCGTGGGCTCCCCGATGCTGGGGGTGGCCCTGAGCCTTGGGAGCCGGATACAGGCAAGCCGAGGGCTGCATCTGGCCCCCGGACCTGAGGTTCCTCACCCCTGCTTTAGAAGTAGGCTTCTATGGTTACCCACTGATTCTTTGAAGGACATTCAAGCATTTAGCATAATTCCACAAACACAAGACATTAATTTACTATCATGCATCTTTTATCAAACAAATGCCTACTCTTCCCAATGTGCCAGGGCATCTAGACTAGACCTAGAAGTGTCCAGCCTACCACGTAGGCCCTGGGCTGGACCACCAAAATTTACCTGCCTCTGCTCTGCTCTATTCCATCCAGATATTTTCCTCTCTCAGTTCCAGTCATAAGTAGCTCAGTCCTCTGACAGAGCTCCAAATAGTTTGCCACTTCCAGGATTGTCAGTGAACAAAGGGAAGTAACACAAATGAACTATTCCATAACTGTGGAGCTATTTCCTCTTTCTTCAGGGAGCCCTTGTTGAGTTGTGGCCCCCAACTAAGTTGGCGGGCAAATACAGAGGACTAGCATAGCACTCTCATAAGGAGAATCAGCAAACAGGCCTTTCCATCTTTCAGGGCGGGACTACCAGGCAGTGGCCATCCAAGGAGCTCCTGTCTTCAATTACCCTTGTTTCCAGGAATTGAAGACTATAGGTCCGCTGTCCTCCCTAGTTAGCCCTCAACTGACCTGGGCTTTCCCTTTTGAGCTACCACCGCCTTATATGACATCTCTCCCAGGATGGAGCCACTTGAGCCCATTAACCCTGGACGTTGCATGTGAGTTTTGTGCACAACCTCCGCTTCAAGATGGCATCTGAGGAACCAGGCCAGCTCTCTTCCCCCCTGCCCTTGAGGAAAAAAAACAAAAAACAACAACAACTTTTTGGTGAGTCCTTCTAGTTCCGTGCTGTACCTGAAAGACATATGACTAGAGATACAGGTACCAAAGCATAAATCAGACTTTTGTGTCTTTCTTCACAGTTAACCAATTCAAAGGTGCGTAAGTGGTGTTCAGCTTCAATGGGTTTCCTAGGAGATAGTATCAAAGAGAATCCACAGCCCATTTCACCAGCAGGCTTTCATTTTCTACCACAGAACATGCTAGTTTCTGAGGGACTAGCATGCGGTTAAAAGATAGCCTGGAATGTTTCTAGCCTGGAATGTTTCTCTCCATTAACTTCTGGGAATATGGTTGCCCACAGGCCTCTTTCCGACACACTGGTCTGCAAAATTAAAGTTATTTCAAAAATAGAAGGCTGTTTTCTGTTTTGGATGAACCGGACAGGCTCTTTATACAAGTGGACTTTCCATTTTCAGAATGATTTTTTTTCCAGATATCAGACAGCTGTCATTAATCAGGTCCACAAAAGGTGCCACTGTCATCAAAAACCCCGGCACAAACCAGCAGTAATAACCTCTAAGCCCAAAGTATCTCCAGACCTGCTTTTTTGTGGTCAAGTGTGAGAGGACTTTTAAGGCTTAGACTTTGACTATGGAGATTAGACCGGACCTTTCTCCACAGGATATGCCAGGTAGGCGGTGTCATCCTTCTCATTTTATACTTTGCTGGGTTTGTGGTTAGACTGGCTTCCCACAAGGACTTCAGGACAGTCAACTGCACTGATGCAAGTAGGTCTGTCAGTCTCAGCCACAGATTATTACATCCTCTAAATAAGCTGCAGCATACGAACCAAGAGTTCAGAGCATTTGAATAACTGGAATGTCACTAGGACACCAGGGAGACCAAAGGGCATAGTTCTTCACTGATGTAAACCAGAGCTGCAAAGGCAGTCTTCTCACATGATTCTCGTATGAATCGGCTCTTCTAGAATCAGAGAGCTGGAAGAGACGTCAGGAGAGACCTCAGGAAGTCATCATGTCCAGCCCCCTACCCAAGGCAGGACCAATTCCATTGGTAGAATCCATTGGTAAAATTTAATGTTGCACTATATTGAGTCTCGCTCATCTGGATTAGTAGTTCATCCACTCAGGATGTATCAGGAGTTGAATTTGGAGATCACATTATCTTTTCTAAAAATCTATAGTTTAGGGACCAGCACCACTGTGTGTCACCAGTCACTGTGGAATTCTTTGGTGGCCTCTAGCTCCAACTTGGTGCAGAGTTCCTGTTTCACTGCATTCCACATTATTTTGGGAAGTAGAAAGGAATTCTCCTAGTTGCGCTGTCCCAGCTCTATCTGGACATGATGTGGAACAAAGTGAGTTTCACCTGGCTGGATGGAAA